TACCCAGATGGTCCCCTCGCCTGGAATGAGATGTTGTCGTAGCCACACGGGGAAAGTATCAATGTGATGCCGTGTAATCCATGCATCGGACTTACCGATGTTTCTGGCGCGAACTAGAGCCAAGTGCTCCTCGATGTAAGGAGCTACCAATGAAGATTGTTGCAAAACCGTGAAATGGGCTTTACGGAATAAATTGTTGTCTACCGTCATTATTGCTTTCCTTTCAAGAGTTCCCTTTTCCCGTATCTCCCTTCATGGCGTGATTCAGGTACCCCGATTGGGCAAAGGTCTTCAATAAATTCTACGCAAAATTCGATGACCTCCTCTGTTCCATACCCCTTGGCGATGCTTGCCTCTGGACGAGCACGGTTACGAACATACTTTTTCAGAACGCCCATGTACCTCTCGAAAGGAAACATCTTGTGTAGGTACACAGGCCCGAGAATACTGATCTCTTTGACAAGGTGACAAAGCAGATGCGTCATTATATTGAAAAATGAAGGTGGAAATATCAACTCAAAACTAACAAGACATTGCACCACATCATTCTGAAGGGCTTCTAATCTATCTGGATCGATGACCTTCTGCGAAATTGCGTTCATGAATGCACATAGCTTTGTTATTGTTGCCCGGACATTGTTTGGAAGGATACCCCTTATTACAACTGGTAGCAGTTGTGTCATCAACACGTGACAGTCATGAGACTTTAGGTTTGTGAACTTCTTCTCCTTCGTGCTTATTATTCGCTTGATATTCGTGGAGTATCCAGACGGTACCTTTATGCTCTCCAAGCATTCAAATATACTTTCCTTCTCTGCCTTGCTAAGAGTGTAGCTGGCTGGACTCAAGTAATGGCTTCCTTTCTCCTTTGGTTCCGGGTGAAGGTCGCCGCGTTGTTCCATATGCTTCAAATCATTACGTGCTTCCAGTGTATCTTTCGACTTTCCATATACACCTAGTAAGCCAAGAAGGTTTACGCAAAGGTTCTTAGTGAGGTGCATCACGTCGATTGCGTGGCGGACGTCCAAGAATTCCCAATAGGGTAACTCCCAAAATATAGAGTTCTTTTTCCACATCGCCGCGTGACCATCTTCGCTCTCTATAGGCTGGCTTCCAGGCCCCTTTCTGAACACTACTTTAAGATCTTTAACCATAGCAAACATTGTTTTCCCGCTGCGATGTTTAGGTTTCGTACGGTGGTCCGCCTTATGTTCAAAGTGCTTGCCTTTCTTCCGTACTGGGTGGTTTGCTGCAAGGAATCGATGATGACCCATGTACACAACCTTCCTACAGTGCTTAAGATACGTAATTTCTGTTTCATCCATACAGTGAGTGCAAGCCTTGTACCCCTTGTTGAACTGTCCGGATAGGTTGCTAAGTGCAGGCCAATCGTTGATGGTTACGAACAGCAGCGCTCGTAGGTTAAACTCCTCTTGTTTGTCATCGTCCCACACGGGGACACCTTCCTTCTTCCACAATAGTTTAAGATCTTCGACCAGTGGTCTTAGGTACACATCGATGTCGTTACCAGGTTGCTTGGGGCCTTGAATAATAATCGGCATCATTATGTACTTCCTCTTCATGCATAGCCATGGGGGGAGGTTGTAGATACACATCGTAATGGGCCAAGTGCTATGGCCGCTGCTCATCTCTCCAAAAGGGTTCATGCCATCCGTACTCAAACCAAACCGTATGTTTCGTGCGTCCTTTGCAAAGTCTTTAAATTTTCTGTCGATGTTCCGCCACTGCGAACCATCGGCGGGGTGTCTCAGCATCCCGTCCTGTTGACGCTCTTCAGCGTGCCATCGCATCATTCTAGCATTCCCCTTGTTCCTGAACAAACGCCTTAACCGTGGTATTATAGGGAAATACCACATCACCTTAGCAGGAATTCTCTTCTTTGTTAGCTGCCCGTCAACTTCTCCTGGATCGTCTCGTCAAATCTTGTATCGTAGTGCTTTGCAAACAGGGCATGCTTCTAGGTTCTCGTACTCCTCACCGCGATATAGGATACAATCATTCGGACATGTGTGAATCTTCTGAACTTCCAATCCTAGAGGGCAGACTATCTTCTTAGCCTCGTACGTTGTCTCGGGCAATTTGTTTCCCTCCGGAAGAATGGTCTTGACGAGTTTCAATAAATCGCCAAATGCCTTGTCACTAACACCATTTTTTGCCTCCATTGCAAGAACTCCAGAGTGGTATCCAACTTTTTGTGCCCCTGCTCGCAACCTGGGTACAAGGACGTTCTGTGGTCCTCTAACATCTTGTCCAATTTATGGGCCCCCTTTTCACTTTCGCGGTCCTCCTTGGCGTCCTGCAATATCTGACCAAGATCATCCACAACGTCGTTACCATCAGCATCCCTTTCCTCCTCGCCCGTTTGATTTCCTTCAAATCCAACGTACTGAGCAAAGTCCGGAATATTGTCGTCTTCCACTTCATCTTCTTCCATTTCAACACCTTGCTCTTCGTGGGATGTCCAACAATTATAGCTTGGCATGAACCCCGACTCAAACAAGTGGAATTAAATAGTCCTGGATGCAGAATACTCCTTCTGATTCTTACACTTATTACATGGATAACAAATAAAACCCTTATGCCTGTTAGCTTCGGCCACTCTCAAAAAATAATGCACGCCGTCAATAAACTCTTTGGACCGCCGGTCAGCGTACATCCATTGCCGATCCATCTACGTGACATGAAAAAAAATCGTACATAAATAATTATTCTAACAATAATGACAGTCATACAATAATTATAAAATAATTACAAACTCTTTCAACAGTCATACAAAAATGACATATCATTATTCATACAAAAATTATAAAATATTACACCAAATAATTCTTATTTACTATTTCTAAAGTTTTAAACTAATATTAATGTGTTTTACTTCTTTTAATTTTCATTTTAGTTTGTTTTCTATTATTTAAGATTAACTTTCACTATATTTTCCTTCTCAACTATTTTATAAAACCTTCTTTAGCAAATAAACTAAATTTCTATATATTCTTTCTCCCCCACACAAATTTTCTCTCTCATCAACTTACAACTAAATTTTGGAGACAAAAAAGTGTGCAGAACATAGCTCCAAATGTAATATGACAAAAAAACATTGGACGATGAAGTTGCTAACTTTTTAGGCACCTCCGATTTGTATATAATCACCAAAATAAATTCACTAGAAATTTTGGCATGACATCCCCTCTTTTTTAAAGAAATTTTGAAGCTTGCTCAGGCAGCTGGAGGAGGAAGAAGACATATATATAGGGGTGGGACTTTAGTCCCCGTTGGTGTTACCAACCGGGGATAATGATTCCCGGGATCTTTAGTCCCGGTTCATAACACCAACCGGGACTAAAGTTACGATCTTTAGTCTCGGTTGGTGTTACCAATCGGGACTAAAGATCCCGGGGGGGCCTGACAGGCCATGACAGCATTTGAACCGGGACTAAAGATGATATTTACCAACCGGGACTAAAGATCAAATATGTCCGTTACCCTTTTTAACCGGGACTAAAGATCATCTTTAGCCCCGGTTTTTATTGTAACCGGGACTATTGTGGAATTCGGCCGACCGATGAAAGATGGTTTCTCCACCAGTGAATGTACTTCATCGGTTTCATAATTCTTAATGTTTTGGACAAGATTTAGACAAGATTTAGGTCAAACTTTTATAACTTTGACTAGCAACTTTAAAAACATTTAGTTTAAGTACACTAGAAGAACATATATATAGATTTGTCTCATAAAATATTATAACAAAAGTAAAATATAGTTAAATATATTTTATGAAACCGGAGGAAGTACCTTGTTCACATTACTCCATCTACATGAGATACCAAAACCTGCACTCCATTTCCAGATTGCGGGCCTTGTTCTTGTTCTGCCTCCTTTTGATAGAATCTATTCGATCCATACCACTGAGTTTATTCGGGTTTCAACGATTTACCATTTACATATACCGACGACTTTATTAATTATTCTACAATATGCCATTGGGTTGGGTCTTCTTTTCAAAAATACCCAAAATACCCTTAGAGACATACAAGATTAATAATTGATTTATCTCATTAAAAGTTTCAAAAAAATATGAAAATTTTTATGTGGCCTCCTTATACAGCATGAAATTTTGTATATAAGCTTCAAATTTTTTTTGGTATATTTAGTTTTTAGAAAAAAATATTGTTATGTGGCATATATAGAATTTGCTTATACAAGAGATAATAGCGCAAAAATATCTTATGTAGTGTATAAAAGATGATTTATATTAAATACAACAATAAAAAATTATTTTATATAGTATATAACAGATAAGTAATTTTTTTAAAAAAATAGAAATGTAAAATTTGATACTTCTATACAAATTTTTATGTCGTGTAAGGAGGCCACATAAAAGTTTTTATATTTTTTAGAACTTCTAATGAGATAAATCAATTGTTAATCTTGTATGTCCATAAGGGTATTTTGGTTATTTTTGAAAAGAAGTTCCAACCCAATGACATATTGTATAACAATTGATAAAGTCGCTAGTATATATTATAGATAGATATAATGTTAATGGCAAATTGTTAAACTCGAAGAAACTCAATGATATAGAATAGATTCTCTCTTTCTTTTTCGGTAAGCAACATTTTCATGCATATCATTACTACCGTAAAGGCTAGTCCTTTCTTCTCCTCCAACGTGCACTTTTCCACCATGCGAAAAAAAACATACTGGTGACTATACTGCCAAGGGACTAAATTTGATACGGTACTGTGAGTTGGGGTGTGTTATATTATTTTAGTTTAGGGATGAATTCCAGACTCGCTGACAAATTGAGGAACCACAAGTGAACTTAGTCCTTAAGGAAAAGGCCTGGACATATCACGGCCCGAAAAGAGAGCTGGCCGGCATATCGATTCGTTTTTGCTTGGGCCGGGCTACAGAATGCCCATACCGCCAACAGCCCAGCGTAACTGGGCTCCGAGTCGGCGACTCCTCGCTCCTAGTCGATCCCCCCCTCTCGGCCTATCCCCTCGCCTCGACTCACCGCCTCCTCGCGACTTCGCCCCGCCCCGCCGCCTTGCACCGAGCTCACACAACCCGCGGCGACGCGGCGTCGCCGCCGCTGCTTCCGGCGCATCCTCGCCGCCGGTGAGCAACCCGCACGCCGCGCCTCCTCCTACTCATCCCTCTGTACCCTTCGCCTTAATCCTACCTTTCTCTTCTAGATCCCGGAAGCTTTTCTCCCCTTGCCCTAACCCTAGTGCTAATTCCCAGTTCGTTCCCCCAAATCTGGGGTTTGGCTCGAGCCGCCATGTCGCACGTGAGGTCCGCCTCCGATAGGCACCGGGACAAGGAGAAGGAGAAGGAGAGGAGGGAGACGCACCGGAGGGAGGAGAAGGATCACCACGGCAGCGGGAGGAGGGACAGGGACAGAGACAGGGAGAGTTATAGAGAGAAGGATAAAGATGACAGGAGGGAGAAGGAGAAGGAGAAGGAGAAGGAGAGGGATTCCGAGCGTGGCCGTGGCCGTGACCGTGATCGAGGCAAGGACCGGGATAGGGGTGAGGCAGAGCGGGACAAGGAGAGGGAGCGGAAGGACAGGGACAAGGAGAAGAGCCGCGGGAGGGACAAGAGCAAGGAGGAGAGGGAGGATAAGGATTACCGGGACAAGTCGAGAGGCAAGGACAGGGGAGACGACGGTGGAGATTTGTCAAAGGGTGAAGAGGGGGATCAGAAGAAGAGAGTTGAGGCCGCAGAGGAGGCCGAGAAACCGTCCACGACTGAGCTCAGGGAGCGCATTGCTAGGTATGCCTTTGAATAATCCTTTTGGTCTTTGATTCACAAGGTTGTTTTCAGTTATGCATCATTTTCATGTAATTTTGCATCCGGAGCTAACCTAATCCAGAGTAATGTATAGCATTTAACCACTTTATAGCAATTGTACATCTGAAACTTGTTTTATTGACTCAGTATTGGTGCTACTGTCACTTGATGATCTTTGGATGTCAACTAGTGTTTTTAGGGTTAAATCTAGTGCAACCTTTTTGCTAATTTGTGTATTACGATGGCTTTATGCATTATTTTCTTCTACTGTCTCACATGCTGGGCTAAATTGTGGCTGATGAAATTTCTTTCCCTGGTCCGACTGAATGTGGTCCATATTGAGTGCATTTTGGGTTTAGTCATCCTATTATCCACGTAAGCCTCATATGAATTCAGAAAATTGAAGCTGAAGGAAGACAACATTGCTTCTAATAATTTTACCAGGAGTAACATACTAAAGTTGAACTGTTGAAGCACCCTATAGAGAAACTTTTGCTAAAAGATTCCTACGGTAAACTTTATTATAATCCTCAATATGCAGACCTGCTGTCTGCTTTCAAAGTTGTCTTTATTGCATTGAATCCAGGAACTATTCGGTGTAAACAGAGAATGCTGTCTTTTGTATTTGTTTATTATACTTTTGGTTATGCTTGTTGCATTCTGATTAACTGCTGCTCTGTTGACATAGCTCAAGAATTTTACTTATTTGTGCTGTCAATAACCCGGATTTCTTGTTTATGTAATGGAAGCATAGGTTTGGTTTGTACAGAACACGATCAAATATACTGAAATAAATGCCATCTTGTTACACCTTTGATCTTTGTTCAATACTCAACTAAACTCTAAAACTTACTGCCGTCTAATATTGCTGTTACAACCTCTTTCGGTGTTAAGCTCTTCTTTAGTTTAATTGATTGATAGTTAGTATGCAAGAGTTGTATCATTTTTCCTCGCTGTTAAATCTTGTAATTAAAATTTGAGGACACAAATAATCTCTAAATCAGGTATTTACTTCAGGTCAAAGGAGGAAAGACTGAATGATACAAAGCAAGGAGGAATACTGGATGATAATGGTGGTGATGGTGAGATATTATCGTGGGTGGGCAAGAGTCGTAAACTTGATGAAAAAAGGCAAGCTGAAAAAGAGAAAGCATTACATCGTGCTCGAGCATTGGAGGAACAGGTGATGGTTTAACCATGATGTTTATGTGTATACATTTTAAAATATGTACAACTAACTTTCATATATCAAACTTGCAGGATAACATTTTAGCTGAAAATGATGAGGATGATGACGAGGAGCAACAGGAGGATAACCGAGTGGGAGGTAATCCTGTGCAAGTTTATTTTGTTATGCCTTTTGTGTAGTATATCGTCTGAGCTATAGTGTTCTGTGCACTGTTATCAGAATAACGTGTTTCACTCTTTTCATCTTTTGTCCAGAACACTTATCTGGTGTGAAGGTTCTTCACGGACTTGATAAAGTTTTGGAAGGTGGCGCAGTTGTCATGACCCTAAAAGATCAGAGCATCCTGGCTGATGGGGATATCAATCAAGGTGATGGGCTTTTACATGTTTATATGTACCAGCTCCTAGGGTAACTATTGTCTTACTTGAGAAAAATATTTGTAGAGGCTGATATGCTTGAGAACATTGAGATTGGTGAGCAGAAGCAAAGGAACGAAGCTTACAAGGCCGCGAAGAAGAAAGGAACATATGATGACAAGTAAGTTCACCATACATATATGTGTTACTGCTAACATGCTGTGTTTATTGGATTGATGTGATATAATGTTCATTTTTCTGCCTGTCTTTAGGTTCAATGATGATCCCTTGTCAAAGAAATCTATACTCTCACAATATGATGACCCAATGGAAGATGAGGTAAAGTAAAATGCGATGTTCAATTTTGTTTGCTTTGTATCCCTCTGTTGGTAGTTATTTTTATTGTTGCACTTATCAGGGAGTGACACTTGATGAAGGTGGACGCTTCAGTGGTGAAGCTGAAAAGAAACTGGAAGAGGTAATTCAACTTCATCCCTAGAAGCCATGGTACTTTTTAGGGTCCATTGCAAATACTTTGGTTGCATCTTTGTGTGGACTAACTATATTTTGATTTTGCCAGCTCCGCAAAAGAATTGAAGGTGGTTTTGTGCAGAAAAAGACAGAAGATCTTACTTCCGCAGCAAAGATGTCATCAGACTATTATACTCCAGATGAAATGCTCCAGTTTAAGAAACCAAAGAAAAAGAAATCCCTTAGGAAGAAAGAAAAGCTTGATCTGGATGCACTTGAGTCTGAAGCTATTGCTGCTGGACTGGGGACAGGTGATCTTGGGTCCAGAAAAGATGCAAGACGACAGGCTGCTAGGGAGGAAGAGCAAAAGGCTGATGCTGAAAAGAGAAACTATGCGTATCAAGCAGCCATTGCAAAGGCTGAAGAGGCATCAAAAGCATTGCGCCCGGAGAAAAATATTTCTGGTAAACACGCTGAATCTGAAGAACTAGTTTTTGGTGAAGATTACGAAGATTTGCAGAAATCTCTGGAGCAAGCAAGGAAATTAGCTCTAAGGAAACAGGAAGAGACTGCTGCATCTGGTCCTCTGGCTGTAGCAGAACTGGCTACTGCAAGAATAGGTCAAAAAGATGCAGATGCTGCCGAAGGAGATGCACAACAAAATAAGGTTGTTATCACAGAGATGGAAGAGTTTGTGTGGGGCCTACAGTTGAATGAAGGTGACCTCTTTTTTGTTTTCTGTGAGTAATTTCAAAGAAATGCATAGGCAGTGACTAATTATTGGCTTCTTTTGTTATCTTCTTTCAGAGACTCGCAAACCAGAAGCAGAAGATGTTTTTATGGATGAAGATGATGACATGATCATGTCAGACACTGTGGCAAAAGATGACATGAGTGGGCTGGCCGTGGTCAAAGAGGAAACTAGCGTTGAAGTCCCAGTAAAGAATGAAGAGGAAGAAGAGCTAAAACCAGATGAGATTGTACATGAAGCTGCAGTTGGCAAGGGTTTGGCTGGTGCTTTGAAGTTTCTGAAGGAACGAGGAACCCTCAATGAGGGCACAGATTGGGGAGGCAGAACCACAGATAAGAAGAAAAGCAAGCTTGCTGGTATTGAGGATGGACCAAAAGATATTCGCATAGAAAGAATTGATGAATTTGGTCGAGTGGTAAGTACCTACCCTACACCCTGTCCTAACTGCCCTCACCCACGAATCTCCCATGGATAGAAACTATGAAACTTACTGCACTGCATCTACTAACAACTATGATTTAGGCAATGCTGTGTTGCTGATTACTTTTTAGATTGCATTTTCTACTCAGCATTCATCTTGCACATTATGTTCATTTATATTCTTTAATTTGAGCTCCGTATGTGACAAATGGTTGGTCTGCGTTCTTTATTTGCTTTAGATGACACCGAAGGAGGCATTTCGGGATCTTTCACACAAATTCCATGGCAAGGCACCTGGTAAAATGAAGCAGGAACGGCGCCAAAAAAAGTATCGGGATGAGTTGAAAACCAAGCGAATGATATCTTCTGACACACCATTAATGTCTGCGGAGAAGATGAGAGAGGCTCAAGCTCTCAGCAAAACACCATACCTTGTTTTAAGTGGCAATGCAAAATCAGGGTATGTCCACAGTATACTTCTACATCCAAGTTCTTATTTTAATTTTCCTTCCGATGCTGCTTTTTAAATTATTTTGATGTCTTCCAAGGCCTTAATGGAAGTCCAAAACACTTGCTCTGGATTTATAGGTGTTAAGGACTTAATAGTTAATATTGCACAACAGTACTTTTTTTTCACGAGATATTATTTTTGTTTAGTTTGTGTTGAGCACAATTATTTCATCTGTATTATCACTGATGGCTTATATTTAATTGAGGATATACAATGAAATCCATTTTCGAATGGTTAATATGATAGCATGTGAGCTCCCAATGTAGTTGGATATTTATTTACAATTTAGAGGGATTGAGGTTCACATTTATGCCTCTGTTTTTTTCATTACTCCATCTGGTTGAGAGATTGTACAAGGCACGTCTAGATTACATTTGACTGCTGGGGAATTTATCAAAAATTGCTTATAGCTTGTGCAGTTATCTTTGCATACTATGTATGTGATTCCTATTAATATCATAGTTTTCCTGATGAAGTGCCTAAACCAGTTCTGTTTAATGTGATTTTAGTCAAACGAGCGATGCCAGTGGCTTTGCTACAGTGGAGAAAGAGCACCCTGGGAGTCTGACGCCCATGCTTGGGGCCAAAAAGGTATGGCATTCCCTGTTCCATTAAGTAATTACTTTATGAATAAATTATTTGTTGGGTGTTAGGTAATGTATAAGCTGTACATATGTAATCCAACTTACCATATTCAGAATCCTGTCTTTGCCTTTCTTTTGGCAGGTCGAGCACTTTCTGGGCATCAAACGAAGCGCCCAGGGTGGAGGATTGCCTCCACCACCTCCAAAGAAGCCAAAGAACTGAACCTGCAGTGGACTTGGCTGAGTAGAAATCAGGTGTTTTTTAGTGCATTTGCTACTGTAGGTTTGGAGCAGATTTCGAGGGACCTACACCAGCAGATACCAACGACCCATGAAGCAGCCCCAAATGAGTTAACATGTAAGAACCTGTGAATTTTTATTCCAAGTTGATTATGTTAACATTCTGACATGGGCGATGTAACTTTTGTAACCAGCTGTACTTACAAGGCTGCACCACAAATGCAGTCAGAACTACAGAGGTGGATTTAAAATGTTGTCGTGTCTCCACAAATCTACATTGGTTGTTTAAGCTGGACATACAAGTTACGATTGCTGAGTGCTGACAAACTTTATAGTGTTTTTCACGTACTCTGTCCCATAAAAAACAAATCTAGTATATGATGTGATACATTCTAGTACCATAAATTTGGACATGAGTATTAAAATGTGTAACATTCTGCCTCCCAAAAACATGTGTAACATTCTGTACTAGATTTGTTTTCTGGGACAGAAGGAGTATGTTGGGGAAAGAGGGAGTACGTTGACAAACAAGCATGTAGTAGTCAGGTACATCAAAGGAGGCAAAGGCAATGCACACCGTGATGTTTGTTAGTCATGTAGCACATCGAAGGAGGTAAGGCAATGCACTCTACGGCCGAGGTTTTCCTTTCATTTGCTGCCATTCTTGGAGTGTCCTGAAAGATGCCAAAGTGTATTACTAGCATAATTTGAGATAGCTCCTGCGAGGCTCTGAATCTGTGATCTAGTACGGCAGTACTAGAGTTACCACCAATGCTTTGACGAGGCACTCCTGAACTGCTTGGAAGGCTAGTTTTTGGCCCAAAAACTGGTTTGGTTGGAGTAAACTGTAATGAATCCGGGCTGCGATATGTTTGGCACGGTTTTAGCTCCAGCTCCACCTCTCCTGTAGCTGGAGTTTAGCCAAATAGTTTCAGCTCCATCTAAAAAAGGAGTGTAGCTGGCTGACCTTCTCATAAAATAGACTAGCGATATGGAGTTGGGTTTAGGTCTAAATTTAAGAGTTGGAGCTTTATCAATAGATAAATGTTTATGTTAGGATCAAAAAGCTGCTTGGATGGGCGGTGTCATCTGATTAAAATCTGTTCGCATAGGTCCATTATACCTGGAAAATAATAGACTGCTTTCGAGCCGAAAAAAATAAGGCATATTTGTTGTTGGTGGCTAGATTGGATGGCCGTGTACCTCACCACCTTTTGTACTTGTATACTGTGTTCGAGCTATCCTTCTCACCATTTTTCTTTTTAGATTGGATCGATGCCACTACAAATATATCATTTGAGATAAATATCACTACTATTCACAATATCGGCTATATTTATGTTACTAGAATTTGAAAAAATTGAAACTGTGCTACTCCATCTCGTTTTCCATAAAAATCTCCGTTAGTCTGAATTGCACGTGAAACCTAGCCGTCAGTTCCATCTTTACCTTCCTCCCCTCTCTTCTCTTTCCCCTTCCTCTATCCACCACCGTCATAATCACCGTCATCGACCACGTCCCTGGTGGGAGGCATCGAGAGCCACCACCGTCGACGTCTGCGACCTCTTCCACAGGCCACATCGGGTGTTCTGGGAGTTGGCGTTGCCGTCCTCGACTCCATATGAGGCGGGAGGGCTCGGGAGCCGCCGCTGCTGTCTCTATCCTCGTAGCGGACACGGGGATGGAGGAAGAGATGGGAGAGAAAGAAAAGGGAGGATGGAGGAAGATAGAACTGACATATGTGTTCCACGTCTAAGGCCGTGTTCTTTTCTCCTCTTTCCCAGCTCACTTCCCTCGTTTTCCGCGTGCGGCTTTTTAAACTGTTAAACGGTATATTTATTACAAAAGTTTTCTATATGAAAGTTCCTTTAAAAATTATATTAGTCCATTTTTCAAATTTTTAGGCTAATACTTAATTAATTTCACTATAATCGCGTGCTTTGTTTTTCGTATCGATCCCGAATGCAGACATGGTCTAACGGAAAATGTGATGAGTGGCACGGTTTTAATTTCCCCAAATTTCAGTGCCATGTTGCCCATATCATGAATAGCCGTTGCATTTATCTTAAATGATATATTTGTAGTGGTATGGATCCAATTAAACCTTTTCTTTTTGGAAGATCCCTAGTTCACTACCGTAAATTAAGTTTCACTTGGTACTACTAGTATCAATCAATTTTATTACAGGATTGAATCCGAAAGGCTAAAAATGCAACGTATGTACGTATGTGCGGCTCGCAAACCCTTCCTGCATTGCAGTAGGTACGCCGCGGCGGCATCGTCAGCGGCGCCGTAGCCTTCTTCGCCGTCGCAATATTCCTCGTCCTCTGTCTTGATGGCTGGGTTGCGGCGGAGAGCCTCCGGGAAGAGGCGCTTCATGCCGGTGGCCTCCATGATCCTCTTCCCGAGCGGCGGTCGTGCCCCCTTCCTGGTGCCGTACAGCGCGCGGCAGGCCCAGTCCAGCACCCCGGGGGCGAGGCAGGCTACCAGCTGCAGCGGCCGGAACAGCGACGGCCACGTGACGTACCAGTCGCCGGCCCGGATGCCGTCCATGGCCACCTCGCCCAGCTCCGCCACGCGGCCCACCGGGAACACGCCGATCTGCTCCTGCACACGTGCAACTCCATCCGAACGAACAGCGTTAATTTGGAGGCTAAATCTCTGTAAAAGGAGCAATCTATCCTCTCTCTGATGCTGTTAGAATGAAACAATACCACCTCTGTTTTATAGAACAGGTCACATTGACTTTTTTATAATAAATATTTTTAAGTTTGATTAAGTCTATAGAAAAATGCAACGACATTTTCAACACAAAATAAACACCTTATTAAAATATATTAAATATTAGTTCCAATGAAACTCATTTAGGTTTGTAGACATCTATTAACTTATTAAAGTAATAGAAAAAGAAGCCTCCACGTTCGCTCTCACAGCCTAGAAATTCTTATATTAATCGGAGAAAAAGAAAAATAGAGTCAATATAGAAATACAATTTAGAAATAGTTAAAATTAGAAATTAAAAAAATAAGGAATATTTGAAGAGGAGACTAGAGTTCTATAGAAATACAATTGAGAAATAAAAGAAATTCGGAATTAATCGGAATTAAAAATAAGGAATATTATAATTAGAGTATAGAGTCCATATAGAAATACAATTAAGAAATAATAGAAATTTGAAATTAAAAATAAGGAATATTAGAAGTAGAGTATAGAGTCCATATAGGAATTTAAAACTAACTAAAATTCAGAATAAACATAATAAAGTTAAAAGTTGAGTTTAGAGTTCGTATAAAAAATACAAGTTACAAATAACTAAAATTCGAAATTAAAAAAAACATGGGAAGAAGAGTCTAAAGTCAATATAGAAATACAATTTAGAAGTAACTGAAATTAAAAATTCAAAATTAAAGATATTAAAAGATGAGTTTAGAGTCCACATAGAAATACAATTAGAAATAATAAAAAATCAGAACTAAAAATAAATAATATTGGAAGAAGAGCCTAGAGTCTATATAGAAATACAATTTACAGATAACAAAAATTAGGAATTAAAAAAAGAAATATTGAAAGACGAGTCTAGAGTCTATATAGGAATATAATTTATAAATAACTAAAATTTGATATTAAAAATAATTAATAAATAGCACGTATATAAAATACAATATGAATATTACACATTAGTAGTTTCGTAAAGTTAGTACAAAATTTAAAATTATGTTGTCATTTTAATATATTTGAATAATACATTGAGAAAACATATATGCTATTATACGAGGGAAAATATAATGATGCTAGTCGCGTAATCTGCGCGGGCCACCATGCTAGTTACTATATAAATAAAAACTTGGTTAAATTTAAAGAAAGTTTAACTATAATATAGAATGGAAGGGGGTATCAAAGTCGTGAACTTTCGGAGCTATAAAACCATTTTTAAAATTTTCATTTAATTGATATCTTACATCTCTGGCTTCCTCGTTGACAGCGACATCGCCGCCGCTCTGGATGCCCTTGCCCTTGGTAATCTCGGATTCGACGTAGCCAGGGGTGAGAACTGTGATCCCGACCTCCGACCCGAGCTCGGCTCGCAATGTTTCGTAGAACCTCAGTTGCGCCGCTTTGGTTGCCTGATACCGTGACGCACATAAAGAGGTCTTATGAACACATGGAAGAGGCGAAAAAAATTTTAGAGAACTGACGACTCATTTGTGGTGGTAACACGTACATTGTAGAAGCTCATTCTTGAAGTGCCGACTGTTCCTGCCGCGGAGCACGACACGACGAGTTTCCCTTTGCTGGCCTTGAGGTGTGGTAGGGCATAGTAGGTCGGGTACACGGATCCCCAGAAGTTCACGTCCTGTGTAAATGTTTCAACCAAAGGATGAATGGATAGACTATCAATATGCAATAATAGGGCATGCATGTAGGTGATGTATATCGTCATAAACAACTATTTTGTGTTATTCTAACACTTGTGTAGCTATATCCATATTTTTTTTAGCAAAGGTGTTGCATATATATGACTCTGTTTGGATCCGGAGGGCCCTTCGGAATTTTGCTATTTAGGAGTATTAAACGTAGATTACTAACAAAACTCATTCCATAACCTCTAGACTATTTTACGAGACGAATCTAACGAGATATATTAATTCATGATTTGCTATAGTGATGCTACAGTAATCAGCTGCTAATCATGGATTAATACACATAATTAGATTCGTCTCGCAAAATAGCCTAAGGGTTATGGAATCGATTTTGTCGTTAATCTACGTTTAATTCGTCGAAATAGCAAAATTTCAGAGGGATATTTAATAGTCCAGAGGATCCAAACAAGGCCATAGGCCAGTGAGTGTTCACCAGCGTTTAAATTAAGTTGGTGCTCGAGATCATTGATGTAAAAGAGGGCCGTGGTAATCTGAGCAACAACAAAGTTTAAAACACCTAATCCAAATTTAAAAAGGATTGGTTTGAAATGGTTTTGTGAAGTAGAACTTCAGCGATAGAAGAGTATTCAAACCGCAATTCACTTCTCTTTCCAAGTCATTATTATTTTTCTAAAATCGGACTGCTGAGTAACTAAACCACCCCGGTCTAAACCGCGGGTTGAACCGTTGGAGTAAACGATTTAGAATCTAATGGTAAATAATGTCCACATACATGTAAGTTTGGATAAACATGATAGTTAAATAGAATATAATAGACTTAAACTTTATAGTTGAAAAACATTCAGACATATAGAAAAAACATATTTGAAAAGATTTATGAATTTGTTTTACCATCATCTTGGTGAAAGCGGTTATGTTGGTGACTTCATCGAAGGAGCAAGAGGACCAGATACCGGCATTGGCAACCAGATGGTTCACTGCACGCAGCATCAGCAAGAGACAGAACAACAACAAATCGTTAATAATGCCTCCTCTATAATTGCAGACTTGCAGTTAGGGAGAGAGAGAGAGATCGGTTCGCGCATGCAAGGATGAAAGTGCACTACATTTGCCGAAGTGCGCGACTGTCTCCTCGACGGCGCGTCTCGACTGGTCGGCGTCGGAGACGTCGGCCGGCAGGACGAGGACGTCCGGCGAGCCGCGCTCCAGGGCGGCGGCGGCGACGCCCTCGAGAGCCTTCTTCCTCCGCGCCACCAGCGCCAGGCACGCACCTTGCGCTGCGTACTGGTAGGCCAGTTCCTGCACAATGACAAGAGCAGCTAGCCACGTTAAGCACCACCACGTGTATTGTCAGTATAGTGACACATGATAGAGAAAATATAATTCGAGTAACGCCACGTAAACTAGTATAAATAAAATAGAAAAAATACGAATTACCCCCAACTATCGCGGTCGTCCGAATTACCCCCTGAATCACAAAACCGGACATTCTTCACCTCCCAATTATGTAAACCGGACGAATTACCCCCCTCGACCCAATCCGCGGTGGTTTTTAGTCTACGTGGCATATACGTGGTATCCCAGTCAGCGTTTTCTAATAAAAAATTATGGGACCCGCATGTAATAGTCTTCACTTTCCCCTCTCTCCCACTCTTCCTCTCTTCTCTCTCACTCTATCTCACTCTTCATTGATTCACTCTATCGGCGGCGGTGGGAAACACGGAGGAGCGAGCGGCGGGCAGCGGCGCACGGGGGCGGACGGCGGACGACGGCATCGTGGCGAAGGCCGAGCGGAGGCGGCTGCGGGCGCGGCGCACGGGGGCGGGCGGCGGACGGCGGCGTCGCGGCGACGGCCGAGCGGAGGCAGCTGCGGGCACGGCGCACGGGGGCGGGCGGCGGACGGCGGCTGCCGGCGACGAGGTGCCTCTCCACGTACCGCTCCGCGCGTCCCGTGGCGAGGTCGACGGCGTCGACGAGCCACCGCGCGCGGAGCGAACCTCGCGACGGATGCGGGTGCGGGGGAGGTCCGGGAGGGAGCAACAGCGGCGACCGCGCGGGGCGCAGAGGCATCCTCGTCTGCCTCTCCACCGCCGCTCGCCTCGCCCGCCTCGTCCGCCTCTCCGCCGCCGCCCGCCTCGCCTGCCTCGTCCGCCTCTCCGCCGCCGCTCGCCTCCCCTGCCTTGTCCGCCTGTCCGCCGCCTCCCGCTTCTTCGCCGCCGTTCGCCTCGCCCGCCTCGTCCACCTGTCCGTCGCCGCCCGCCTACCTCTCCGCCTCGTCGACGCTGTCGACCTCGCCACGGGACGCGCGGAGCGGTACACGGTGAGGTACCTCGTCGCCCACCCCCGTGCGCGTCGCCGCGACGCCGCCGTCCGCCGTCCGCCCCCGTGCGCCGCCTCCGCTCGGCCTTTGCCGCGACGGCGCCGTCCACCGTCCGCCGTCCGCCCCCGTGCGCCGCCTTCCGCCGCCCGCCGCCCGCTCCTCCGTGTCTCCCGCCGCCGCCGATAGAGTGAATCAGTGAAGAGTGAGATAGAGTGAGAGAGAAGAGAGGAAGAGTGAGAGAGGGGGGAAAGTGAAGACTGACATACGGGTCCCACAATTTTTTTATTAGAAAACGCTAACTGGGATACGACTTAGATCAAAACTACTGCGGATTAGATCGAGGGGGTTAATTCGTCCGGTTTACATAGTTTGAGGTGAAGAATGTCCGGTTTTGTGGTTCAGGAGGTAATTCGGACGACCGTGATAGTTCGGGGGTAATTCGTACTTTTTCTAATAAAATATTATATTATGTTTATATTATTAATAGAAATGTAGAAGACTCTATCCTGTTCAGACGAGACAATTAATAACCATATAAACATCTATTGTACTTTATGCGCATTCTCCATCCTCTCCCCCTTTCCCTCCCACCCACATGGCTCTCTCTCCCCGAAATGACTTGTGTGCGCATGTTCGCGGGCGCGGCTGCTAGCGAACAGGTCATTGCTTACATTTTTGCCAAGCATGTTTCCTTTTGGAGGCATTTTCCTTTTTTTTCTTTTATGGGCTTGGAGCTAATTCAAGTGACGGCTCTCTAAGCAGAGACAAGAAATCATGGCCCATGCGGCCCAAAATACGCATTCATGCTTTTTTTCCCTATTTTTATTATATCTCTATATGAAGTTGTATACCAATTATTTTGCATGTATAAATTTATATACCAAATATTTATGTGTAAAATCGCTACACCAAATTTTTCTACGATATAAAGCTTATATGTATAAAGTTGCGTGTATAAATTTTTATACTAAATGTTTCTGTATAAAATGCCTACACCGAAATTTTCTATGGTGCAAAGTTTATATGTATAAAACTTGTATGGTATAAAGTTTAGATGTGCAAGTTTATATGTATATATTATATGTATATAAACTTTATACGTACAAATTATTTGGGATAAAATACAATGGGCCGCATTTAGTGGGTCAAAAGTGACTAAGCCAGCTAGCGGCTAAAAGGGGAAAGGCACCCACGCTCGAGGGCTGGACTTGTCAGTATTTGTCCTGCTAATGCGTTCGTGCTACGTGAATATTCGTGTACTAGATCCACTCCTCTGTCCCACCCTCATGAGCTCTCTCTCCCAAACTCAAGGAGTGCTCTCTCTCCCACCCTCATAGCTCAATGGCCGAGAACACTATGCAGCCGTCAATCTATGGTCAATAGCCACCAACTCCGTGTTGTTATGGAAGGCCGCCTTCATTCGAGGTGGAGGGATAATTCGTGAGGCTTTTTGGATTCGCAGTAGCTTCGTTTGCTGACTCATTGTGATCCACAACGAGCTTCTTTGATTAGAGGTGGTGAATCGAATGATGTGTTTTTTTTTTGTTTTGAAGCATTTTGAGAAATGATTTTCAGGATAATTTTGCTCGTTAATTTGAGTTATCTAGCTTTATTGAAGGATTTTGGGCACTTTTTTCTAATCATTTGTTGCTTGTTTTATGGGGCAATGGAACATGCAGTAACTTTTTTTTTTGCCATGGGGTAATTTATTGTTGTTCGGGTGTTGTTTCGATTAAATTTTTTAAATTGATTATTTTTTGTTTTTCTTGAGTTTTCTCATGAAACACAAATTTGTGGATATCCCAGCAATACTTTCGTAATATCTAATGTATCACGTTAGTGGTACCATGATATTGAGGTTTTGTAACTACAGGCGGACCTATTTATCTCTGTACATATAATATCATACCTGATATCTATATGTATTACTCCTTCTGTCTAAAAAAGCCAACCTTGGCATGGATGAGATACTTTCTAGGACACGAATCTGGACACTCCGTCCAAAAAAAGCCAACCTTGGTATGGATGGAGCTATGTCCAGATTCTTGTCCTACAAAGTGTCCTATTCATGTTAAGGTTCGCTTTTACTTTTTTTGGGATGGAGGGAGTAGACCTGGTGCTCGGTACTAGGGTATGATACCTTTGGAAGGTTTCTCGCATGCTGATATCAGCATGACGCAAATACATAAAGTATCCCTTCCACTTGTGTTTCTTTCGAGTCTTTGTTCACTTATTATATTGTTAACAACAATAAAAATATATTGTATGGTATAATATAACAAAACATAATTCTTTTGGTACTACTAATAATTTGACCAATTAATCTTATAGAGTTTATATAAGATATGGCTCGAACAGGGAGCAGACAACTTGGATATGATTTCCCACGCTTATAGCAAGAACATTTTCTTTCTTAGAGCACTTTAGTATGAAATTCATGATGTCGATATTTATTCAACGAAATAGGCGTAACCATGTTTCTTAAATGCAAGACTGTCAAAAACATTAAAGCAAACTATTAATTAATATAAACTTCCGATCGAGAGCGTTTAAGAACAATTTAATATTGTTCATGCAGTCGTAAAAAGATTTTTCTCGACAATACTCCCACTTTTATCTAAAAGTGTAAGGCATAGCATTTCTTTTATCAACAAGACTAAGAAAAAATTATCTAACAAATCAACAATCAGGTTCCGATCAACAATTTAAGTTTAACACGATAAAACATAAAAGATAATTTTTTCATTTAAGTCTTGAATATATGAAGACTACAAATATACCTATCTCATTAAAAAAACAGAAAATGAAATAATGAAATAGTTTGTATAGGACTTTTTGACAGAGGGAGTAAGACGGTAATGGTCCAGCACTACGGTAAAACGAGTTACTGCAGGTGGGCACAGATCCAGATCGGATCACTTTGTCGTTAGTTAATCATTGACCGGGTCGCAGCCATGCATGCACGATTTTGTGAGTGTAGAAGACGTCATCAGCAATTAATTAATCGCATGTGTTCAACCCATACTACCGATGAGAGACCAGATGTCTAATTAGAAGGAGATAGCATTACAGTTTACGAGATACAGTAGCTTTACTTGATTCTACAACTAAAGGCAATTGGGCCGGTTCGCGCCCATGTGCCCTGGGAACTACGCAAGAATGGAACCGAAATGACGGTCAATACGTGTCATACCAAAAACTACTGCTTCATATGTTTTAAAATATATCAAACTAGTAAACGATTAAACAACGACGAATATATATATATAAAGAGTATATCTACATTTATACTACTTGTGAACTCAATTGTTACTCTCCCTGTTTTATATTAATCATCATATCATTTTCTCATTAAGATCAATAAAATCTTAACTTCTCTGTATTTTAGGGTCTATATGATATAGCTCCAGCTCTAAACTCTACATTCTTGAGAGTTAAAGCCCAACCAAACAGTTTTAACTCCACCTAAAATGGGTGTGGAGTTGTGTGAGGCGTGTAGCTCTACCAAACACCCTTATTTATTATAAGTTTGTAGTAGGGGAAAAATCAATTTTCATATAGACTTTAACTCTTCTTATGCCTAAGAAACAAGAGAGCTTTACTACCCGGCCAAAAGCTTGCATGCATACATATAAGCTCAATTTGCATGTACAAATATAATAATACTACCGTCAAATGAATGAGCCAAGGTTACACGATGATTAATTTAGAGTTTTTGATATTTTTATACGACGATCATTACAAGATGGAGGAAGTATATTTTAAAACGTATAGTGTTTACTACTACCTCCATCCCAAATTACTTATCTTTTAAGGTCGTTTAGTATATCATAAGGTTTGAAACAAAAGACTTCAATACCCTTATAAAATAATTTATGTTTAAGGATAGAAGGGTGGTTGAGGGGTAAAATAGGAAGAAATTTAAATGTGATGTGATTGATGGGACAAGTATTACTAGGAGTGATAAGTATTGGCTGTG